TTTGTTATATATACACACACACACACACACACACACATACACACACACACACAAACACACCATAAATATTCTTCTATTTATTGCTTCTTATGGTACTTTTCTTATGTACTTTGAGTAATATCACTTTCCTTAAAAGAGAGAAGTCAGGCTGTATGCAGTCAGCTAAATCCAAGGTAAAAGAAATCTAACGCTGCTTCATTCAAGAATATTTATGGTGTGTTTGTGTGTGTGTATGTGTGTGTGTGTGTGTGTGTGTATATATATAACAAGGCCATTTAAAAAAGACAAAGCTAAGTTAGGCCTCTTATCAAGGAAACTAATTCTGAAGAACTGATGCAGCTTTAAAACAGACCTGGCTTCTATACTGCCATTAAGACAAAATCCTTAGACAAAGAACTTCAATAGCTCCAGTGAGCTATGGAGGAAACAGCCATCCTGGGTAAGTTATTTCAAGTTAATTGGCCCAAGTGATTTTAAGTCTTTATTCAATTTAAAGCCCTCAATAACTTGGGCCGAGTCACTTGGAAGAAGTAACTCATCTAGAAGCAGCTTGTCCATTTTTTATCTCTTCCAAAATAAACTGGCAATCAGTGTAAAGCAGAAAGGCCATGTGGTATCCAGGCTGTATTGCTCTTAGGAATTACAGTGAAATTACATCTGTGCCCATTTTTGCCTGGCCTTCTTTAGGCGAGCATATCCTGTTGGAAACAGCTGGCTCCATACGGGCACATTCCCTTGGCTCATGACATAAGCTGAGTTGAATCCTTGTGAATGGAGTCACATTTCAAAGAACCAAGTTTTCCCATGGCCCGGAATTAACACCACAAGGCAAAGCCCTCCTGTGATGGGGAAGCCCTAGACAGATCTGCTAGCATGCCAATGTTAACTTGGGGTGGGGGGCGGTTTGCAATTCTTGGGGCAGTTCTCTTTTCCCCCAGAAGATCAATGTAGTCCATCTCCTTTGAGGAACACAATATATTTTCTTTGAAGATGTTTCTTAACTCATATCTCAAGAAGCCCTGAGATGGACAAGCTAACCAAAGAAATCCAAGGAAAGGAAGAGACGGAGCATTATTTAATTTGGGGAAAATGGTACAGTTGGTTGGTGGATGGAAACAGAAATTAGCGACAATAGTCTAAGAAAGATAAGAGTTACAAATCTAGGAAAAATGTCATACTAGTAGAAGAATAACAAAGCCTGCTTAATGTAAATAGCCAAATATAGATGGATAAGTGAAAGGGAATGAAATAAGAGGGTTAAAAAATGTGAAACTGAATAGAAATGTATTGAGAGGGAAAATAGTGTATGTAAAGATGTACGGACTGATAGCTGCTACAAGAAGGAATGTGAAGTTCCGGTGTGATGTATAAATGTAGTGTGTGTCTTTGTTATTGTGTATATATATATATGTTCAAAATTATTATTTTTTAAAAAAAAAAGAAGCCCTGTTTTGTTCAAAGCTTTAGTTTTACATGTAAGTTTTGGATAATAATTTTTAATTTTGTAAAATTTCATGTAAGAAACAGTCTTAGAATAGCTGAGAAAATATGCAACGAAAGCGGACAGTCTAATGCAGGGGTGTCAAACTCAAGGCCCACGGGCTGAATCCAACCCGTGAGGTGCTTAGATCTTGCCCACGGGGCCACCCTGGAAACAGCAAAGAACTGGTGCCTCAGCAAGCAAAAACGGAGCTCCGTTTTCGGCTACGACGGTCTCCTACAGCCCTCTGCCAGCAAAAACAGCCATGTCCACCCTGGCCACACCCATCCATCTAAGGTCAAACACAAGTGGAAGGATTTCTAGCATATGGTCTATAGTTCAGTTGTTAATTTTTGTTTCAGTTTGGCTCATTCTCACATTACTAGTACGTTTTAGAATATTCCACCCCGTATAAGGCAAGCAGAAAGGTCTATTCTGTCCAATACAACTATTTTACAGGTGCTTTTCTTCATATAGCTGTAGCTGAATCAAAAAAGCTGAAATTATTATTTTAAGAATATGGGCATTGTTAATTTAGGTATATCATTTTTTTTTCTTCATGAGCTACTTGAGATTTTCTAAGATGAGTTCCATCAAACTCTGATTAATATAAGATTTTCCTCTTAAAGAAATTGCTGTGAAAGATGTCAGAAATTAGCCTTTGTCAATCTCATGCCTTCCGGGTGTATTGGGGCAAGAATTTCCAGACAGTGTGTAACCTTTCACAAGTTGGGGTTTCTGGGAATTATAGCATCAATACATTATGAGGGCTGTAGATTGAGGAAGGCTGCTTCAAGGAATTGCTGGAATGCTATTGCTAGAATTGTCAGTCCTATTCATTCTTTCTCTCCTCCTTTTTAAGACAGGGCAATTCTGAAAGCTAATGACTCTAGTCAACTTTCAAGGGCTGAAACAATCACCTTTATACCTGAGTCTGCCAGTGTAGCAGCAGCAGCAGCAGTAGCAACAGCTACAATAACCACACCTTTGTGGCCAGTTTCTTCCAAGAGCACAAATGGGACTACAATTGCCATTTCTGAATCCGAAGAGGAGAAAGCCAAAAAATTACTGTATTGTTCATTATGCAAAGTGGCTGTGAATTCTTTATCTCAGTTAGAAGCACACAACACAGGTGAGTCCTTACCAGAATTAACTAAATGCCTAACTGTATGTTTTAGAAAATTTAGGCAGCGTCTGTAAAGTTTTGTCTGCCGGGTCATTTTTTTTCTTGAAAAGGAAAGGATGTTTTATTTAAAATATATTGTGGCAATTACTCGCTTCCTGCCTCTGGGCAGCCCAGGAAGCATAAATTTTGTTCTTTATTAAAGATCTTATTCATCTGGTTACACTATTACATGCTTAATAAACCTATTTTCCATGAATGCCCTTGTTGTCCAGATAAATGGTTTCCCTCAGCCCTGTATTTTACATCCTAAAACAAGGAAGAGATTCTGCAGGTCACATCTCAGTACTTAAGATTTCAAGAGAACCTGTTGCGATCCACCTTATTAAAGCCCCCATTCAGGAGTTAATGAAAAGACCTTGGCTGGTATTCTACTTGCCAGCTTTGCCAGTAATCATTCTCTACTATTGATCTTCCAATGTTTTCTCACATATTTCTCCATGACTTTGGCCAAGATGGCTCCACTCACACAATCCAATAGGAGGAAATGCATTGCTGCCCCCCCCCCCCAAAAAAAGGAGACTGTTTTGATTAAACTTTGGGGCTGCTAATTTCAGTATATAAAAGCAAGGCTAGAAATAATATATGACTATAATTACGTGCTGTAAAGTTGGCCTCAACTCTTTTATCCAGGATTATAAATAGATAGTATAACACAAAAATTAAAAATTATCTTTGCTATAGTGTTGGGAAATACACAGAAATGCAAGCCTGCTCTTTGTCCCATTTAGCTAGCGTCAGGACCAAAAGTAATGTTGCTAAAAGAATCAACAAAGAAGGGGGTTTTCACCTAGGGACAATTCATAATCATATATTTAGATTCTTTTTCGAATAATATTTTGCAAAATTAAAAGGTAGTTCAGGAACAGGCAGAGTTATACTATATAATTATATAAGCAATCAGTTTAGAGCTCTCTGAGAAGTTATTTGATCCTACCTCAGCATTCCGGTGAGTGGGGAGGTGGAAAGGAGGAAGGGGGCAAATAAGAAGAAGGGGAGCACAGAAAGAGAGAAGATGGCTGCTCCTGCCCTATGCAAGCTTGTGCCCTATAGGCTACATGCCAGTAGCCTGGGGGTGTGCAGACTACCCCCTTGCCTGCCCAATTATTTGGGATTTCTTGTCATTTTATTTTTATTTAAAAAATAAAAAAAATCAAGTATGCTGGTTGCATCAAGTTTCTGCTTGTGTTGTGTTAATACACAGAAGCACATATGCAAATCAATTAAGTGTTTCAATTTTAATTAATCATACTGTGCATCAGTAGATGACAGAGACATAAAAATGATTGAAGGAACTACACACTCCAGTTCTGGAATTAATTTTAGAAATTTTTAGAGTTAAAGAGAATGCTGGGACTAGAATGCTAAACAGGATTCCTAAATCAAACAAGCAAGCAACAGTTTGCTCCTATTCTACTTGCTTAATTCTGTTTTTATACTAGGTCTGTGCATTGAATTTTCTCTAGATGCTCAAGGCAATGTACATAATACTGTTATTCTTACCATACAACAAACCCCTGAGGTAAATTGTGCTTAGTGATTGGCTGAAAGTTACTCAGCTTCCATGGTCGGCACAGAAGAGACTCTTGGACCACTGAATCTTTTCACCCCTAGTCCTTACACTATAACGATTTACACTGCACTGAATCTTAAAATGCTACCTCCAACACAAGGAGTAAAGCAGAAATGATAAGCAACATACACTAACACAGGAGTCTCCAACCTTGGCAACTCTTAAGACGTATGGACTTCAGCTTTGCTGGCTGAGGAATTCTGGGAGTTGAAGTCCACCAGTCTTAAAGTTGCTAAGATTGGAGACCCCTGCACTAGGAGGCTTACCACGAATGGCTAATCTTCTGTGTGTGTAGCTAATTTTTCCTTTGGAAGCTCAACTGCAAAGAATTTGTGACTGGAAAAATAAAACTTTGTCCCTTCTGAATCACCTTTGCACTTCTTCAAGTTGTAAAAGAAACCCAGGATATTGATCTCTGTATTAGAAATTGACTTTCTGAAAACTTTCAGAAAAATTTATCTTCTGCTAGAACAGTGATTTAAAAGAGAAAAGCGATTGTTTTCCCATCCCTGCATATTTCAATATATTGCATAAACGTATCTCCTAACGGGTAGAATGCAAGCAACAAAGTGTTACGGTGTGGAGTATTAGGGAACCTGGCTTGCTTAGAATAATGCAAATATGCTTTAGGCAAAACCAGGCCTTGCTTGTGTCTGTGGCCCACTGGCTGAGATATGTCAAAACTGACTGTCATAATCAGTACATTAACAGATACAACAAAAGCTAGGAACCTTCTCTTTGGGTTATCTGCATGACTAGCTTGTCTTGCATAGGTAAGATGACTTCTAACATACGGGAGTGAAGCAACTTGAGGCTAAAAAGCAGAGCGCCCACACACACACACACACATATCTTACTTGAAAGCAGTATGTATTTGCAGTGGGCCCATAGATATAGACTTCTTTGGTCTTAATTGACCAAAGCCATGATGAATAGCAGAGGTCTATATCTTTGGACCCATTTGGTGACATATGGAAGATTGCAACTTGAAATGTTAACAGGAGTAAATTATAAAGAGTATGCATGAAGCAATGAAATATAAAAAGAAAAATAGTTATTTTGTGTAAAACTAAAAAAGGGGAAGAAAATTGGAATGGAATTGATCTGATCTTGTGGAATGGAATTGCTGAATACATGCAGAAAAATGGAAGGTGTAACTTGAACTATAAATCAAAGTATTAACTGTGAACTAAAAAGTATAGGAAAATATGAATTGGAATTAGTATCATTAAAGTTCTTGTGGGTGAATATGAAAGAAGGAAGCCATAGGTTAGAGATAGTTGCATATTATGCTCCAGTGAATGGCAATAATGGAGAAACTAGGCATGACGTTGGGGAAAGAATTGTGCAACAGCATCCTGAACAAATGTGATCTGGGAGTAAGTGTGCCAGATGACACAAATGGATATGTATAAACAAGATGAGAGAGTACATAAAATGATTGGACTCTTTGGAGGTTCAAAGATATTTAAGAATAATGACTGTCTTAAGAGCATCTCCCAGTAAAAAATCTGCTTGCTTCAAATACGTGGTTTAAAGCATAAGATTATTTCTCTGTACAAGAAGTACAAAATGCAGAGTAATTTGGATAGAAATTTTTAAAGAACTGTTTTAAATGTGGATGAAGAGAGCTAATCAGAGTGAATGGCATTAAAAATAAAAGTGATTAAATATTTAGGAAAAAACTAATATGCAAGAATGCTGGAAGGAGAATTTTAAATATCTGTGGGAATGGTAGTGATATGTCAAAGACTAAAATAAAAATGAATTTGTACTCATTAGTACTATTAGGGAATGGGATTCATTATTTCTCCTTTATGTATAAAATAAGAACATGGAAATCAAAAGAATCAGTTCAAAAAGAAGTTGAGCAACTCATTTTACTGCATAACTTTATCACTTTAAAATACAGTATTTTTTGGAGTATAAGATTCCCCCCCCCCTTTAAAAGTGGGTGAAAATTTCAGTGCATCTTATAGACCGAATACAGGCCTATTTTTGGCCTCCCAAACCCTCCGCGAGTCATGTTTCTGCCCTCCCCAGCCCACAGAAGCACTCTGCAGTGCTTTGAACGTCCCATTTTCACCAAAAATAGGGCCGTTTGGGGGCTCCCGAACCTTCCACGCATCCCATTTTTTCCCTCCCTGGTCCCTAAAAGGACTCCGCAGGCCAAAAAAGGGTCCATTTTGGCAAAAATGGGACATGCAGAGCACTGCAGAATGCTTCTAGGGCCTGGAAGTGTGAAAATGTGATGCACGGAGGCCAAAAACTTTTTTCTTGTTTTCCTCCTGTAAATCTAGGTCCGTCTTATACAGTCTTTTCTTTCTAGAATCATTTTTTAACATTCTAAAAAGATGAAAAATGGGTGTAATTTTCAAGAATCAGGAATTTCTTACATATAAAGTTGTGGATGATTTGGTCATTAGCCGAGGTGGCGCAGTGGTTAGGGTGCAGTACTGCAGGCCACTTCAGCTGACTGTGATCTGCAGTTCAGCGGTTCAAATCTCACCAGCTCAAGGTTGACTCAGCCTTTCATCCTTCCGAGGTGGTGGATGAAATGAGGACCCAGACTGTGGGGGCAAGTTGCTGACTCAATTTGCTAAAAAAAAATAATCTGTAAACCGCTTAGAGAGGGCTGAAAGCCCTATGAAGCGGTATATAAGTCTAATAAATAAATAAATAAACAAATAAATAAATAAATAAATAAATAAATTAGAGGATGTGATAAATAATCTGTTTATGACTAATACATGTGCCCCAAAATAATATTGCAGGATCCAATCTGAGTCAGTCACCGAGACCAGAGGTTTTGTCTTCCAAGTTTCCTGACTGACTGAGTGACTGACTCAGATTGGACCCTGCAATAATCTTTTTCATCAGTGCCAGTAGAAACGGGGAGTTCCTGAACAGTCTCAATGCTGTGTGAATGGGTTCTGAAGTGTCTTGAAAACTTCCAAAACCTGAAGAACACTGTATAAAAAGGACTGAGATCAACCATTTTTTAAAATTTATATTTACTTATTTAACAGAACATCTAGGAAAAGAGAGAAATGTTTCAATGACTAAAAATGTTTGTTTCCTCATTAAAGTTTTCTGATTCTTTTGTAATAATCGCTTGTCAGGTTCCAAGCACAAGACAATGGTGGAAGCTAGGAATGGTGCTGGTCCAATTAAATCTTATCCTCGGCCTGGATCCAGATTGAAGACTCATGGAGCTACTATCGGTTCAGGACTACAGAACAAAACTTTTCATTGTGAGATTTGTGATGTCCATGTCAATTCAGAAATTCAGCTGAAGCAGGTATGTCTTACCTGCTTAAATACTTATTCTGTTAATTAGCAACCATTTAATTTGGTGCAGGGTAAATCCCTTGATCAAAAGGGATCCAAAATATCCCATGTTCTACTCTTACAAGCTTCTAGCACTAAACTCAACTCAGGGTTATGCCTTCAAATATAACCTCCTTGTCATCATGCTGAAAATATTTAGACAATATTTGTTAATAGTCAACAGCATTGTTAAAACATTTGAAACCATGTTATTACTGAGTAGAACAATTACTTTTCCAAATGACAGCAATCTGTCTCTCCATGCCAGGAAAACCAACAAATGAACAACTGCTTATTGTCAGCTATGGTTCCTCTGCCTTTACTTTGCAGATTGGCAGCATCACAGACAACATTCCAGTTGTAACCCTCTGGTGATCTTGTTCTTGTTTAATTATTTCACTTTCAAGCAGCTTAATAATATGTTTTAATTTTTGGTTTCGTTGTACACCACCTTGTGTAAGATGGATGGCCATGAATGTGATTAATTTTATTTCCAGTTCTGTTGGAAAGAATTTATCATTGTTGCACAATGGCTGCCAGAACATTTTCCCTACTTATTTATCTTGCCATCTTATTATTGTACAATTCATCCTTTAAATTTCAATGTTTTCAAGGAAAGTTGTGATTCATATATATTTGAACTTAAGGTTAACTTTTGTGCTTTTTTAATGTTAGAATTATTTGTCTGTTTCTGCAGATATTATACTGTATATGCAGTATGTATAGTGGATATAAAAAAAAGTTACACAGCCCTCTTAAAATACCAGGTTTTTGGAGGTGTAAAAAAAATCAGATCAAAATAAAACATTTCAAATTTAATGTAATCTTTAATGTAAGTTATAAAGCTGTACAATTCAATTGAAACACAATCTGAAATCTTTTAAGGGAAAAATAACAATAAAACCCCTACAATAACATGGTTGCATAAGCATGCATACCCTTAAACTAATACATTGTTGCAGCACTTTTTGATTTTCTGGCAGCATTTAGTCTTTTGGGGTAGAAGCCCATTAGCATGGTACATTCTTGCCTTGGGAAACTTTGCCAACTCTTTCTTGCAAAAGCACTCCAAATCTGTCAGATTGAGATGATATTTCGATATTTCGCTTTTCAGATCACGCTATAGATTTTCAGGTCTGGGCTTTGAATGGACCATTCCAAAACTTTGTTCTTCTGGTGAAGCTATTCTTTTGTTGATTTGGAGGTACATTTTGGATCATTGTCATGTTGAAATTCCTTTTCATCTTCAGCATTTTACCAGAAGCCTGAAGGTTTTATACCAAATCTGACTGATATTTGGAACTATTCACAATTCTCTCTACCTTGTCTAAAGGTCCAGTTTCAGCTAAAGAAAAGCATAATGCTACCACCAGCATACTACACTGTGAGTGTGATATTCTTCTGGTGATACCCAATGTTGTTTTTTGTACATAAATGCTCCCGTCTTCCCACTGTACCCCACAAGCCCAAACATATGAAGAATAAAGGAGATAGCTGCCTCTCGGACCAGTTTTCTTCTTGCTTTTTCATCAATATTGAGGGAACATCCAATTCTTGGTAATGTCACTGTTGTGCCATATTTTCTCCACTTGTTGATGACTGTCTTCATTGTGTTCCATGGTATATCCAATACCTTGGAATTTTTTATCCTTCTCCCAATTGATACTGTCCAACATTTGGAGCCCTTTGATGCTTTTTAAGCTCTTTGCAGACCATGACTTTGGCTGTAAAAGGCAACTGAGTAAAGGTCAGAAAAATCTTACTAGCACAGCTTCACTTTATATGGGTTTGATCAGAATCACTTTAATTGATGGCCGGTGTGTATTGTTTAACACCAGGTGGAATGCGATCGGTTAATTCTTAACACAGCCACATCCCCTCGTCTAAGAGGGTTGCGAAGACTTATGCAACAACATTATTGTTGCATGTTTTTTATTGTTATTTTCCCCTTTAAGAGGGTTCAGTTTGGATTCCAACTGAATTGTACAGCTTATATGTTATATTAAAGGTGGAAAAAATCCTGAAGTGGTTTATCTTAGTCTGATTTTTTTTTACATCTCAAAAATCCAGTATTTTAACAGGGATGTGTAGACTTTTTATATCCATTATGAAATACCTTTCTGAGCTTTTGTCGACTTACCTTCCTCTGAAATAAATTTACTTGGAGACTATACAACTGATAAGTTTTAAACAGAACATTTGTATTGATTTTTCAGCACATTTCTAGCAGAAGGCACAAGGACAAAGTTGCAGGGAAACCCACAAAACCGAAATACAGTCCTTATAACAAATTACAGCGTAATCCAAACATTCTAGCGGTAAGTATTGCTTGGTGTGCTTATCTTATTGAAAAGCTTTGATCCCCTACATTCACGAGTATGTCTAGAAAAGAGATTTGTGTGCATTCCCCAAAAGTAGCATCTCCACCAAATTCAGTGGCAATTATTTTTCAGGAAGCAAAGTTCTTTTTTAAAAAAATCAGGAGTGTTCAAGGTACACTTATTTTCAATTTTAATGTACAGCACATTTCAGCTGACCTTTAAAAACAAACAAAAAATGAATACGCCTCCTTCGTTATAAAAATGAAATTGAAGTACTTCAGGTTTTATTAGCTTATTAGTTCCTCAGTGTAAAAGCTGAAACCACAATAGGGGCATGCTTCAGCATAAGCCCCAGATAAGTACCTAATTTACATCTACAAGTAAACAACCAAACCTTTTTTCTTCAAACACAAGATGTTATACCATCAACTATTTTTCTGAGGAACTGACAGTGCTTTATTGGAATAGGTGCAATCAGTGGTGGGATTCAAATAATTTAACAACTGGTTCTCTGCCCTAATGACCAGCTGGGTAGGCAGGGCTCGGTGGTCATGTGACTGGGTGGGTGTCGACAACTCAACATCACTCACGTCTATGGGCGCTCCACCTTAGCTGTTACAATGTTATAAGGGTTAACCTTATAACAGGCAGTTTCAGTAGGCAGGGCAATAAAGAATAGGCTAGAAACAATACCAGAATGTTTCCTTCCTGCCTTCCTTATAGGATTAGCCCTGTAAAGTGGAAAAAGACAAAATGAGATTTCTTCCAACAACCAGTTCTCCGAGCTGCTTAGAAAGTTAACAACTGGTTAGGTGCGAACTGGCTGAATCCCACCACTGGGTGCAATTCTTTCCCAAGTGCTCGGGGTATAGTTCTCTCTGTGGATTAACCTTGTTCTCATTAGCATTTTAACTATTATATAGCATAGGAGTCCCTATCTTGCATTAATGGAATGCAGAAAAACCCAAACCTCATCCAGGAACCACTGCTGATAACACCAGCAGCTAAATGTGACCTTGGAAGGGATAGGAAATGCTGCAGCTGTTTGTAGCCTCCCGTGTTGAAATTGAGAAAGGAAAAAGGCGCAGGGACAAGAGCAGGAAATTAAAAACTTTGTCAAGAGACCTTCTGAACAACTCCATCCATTAGGGGAGGGGATCAACCATTTCATAGCAGTATTTCTTTCCCTTCGTTCCGTAGGCAAAGCTGGCCTTCCAAAAAGATATTCTGAAGCCTTTGGCACCTGCCTTTCTCTCCTCTCCTCTTGCTGCCGCCGCTGCGGCAGTATCCACAGCTCTGACTCTCCCACCACGACCCTCCGCTGCTCTCTTCCAGGCTCCTGCAATACCCACAGCTCTCCTAAGGGCAGGACATGGGCCTCTCCGAGCTACTCCAGCATCTATCCTCTTTGCTCCCTACTGAACTGGGAATAAGCAAGGCATGACTTTGGCCACGTGGAACAAGGACAAAAGAAGACCAGAGCAAGATTTCCACTTTCTTTTTGTTTTTGTTTTTTACAAGACTTGTGTTTTTAAGATCTCGTGCTTGATTCCGTCCTTAGAAAAATAAGTTACAAAACTCATTGGCAGGAATTGCAGTCTAGAATCCATTGGGGGCAGGGGGTTAAATAAAGCTCAGATACCTGGTTTACAAAAATATATTGTGCACAAAATATATTCAAAGGTTCATAGGTCGTTTTTAACTGGATATTATGATTTGTAAGCAAGGAATGTGGAATATTTTCCTGTATGACTTGAAAAACCAGAATTGTATACATGGATCTCTGGAAGCTAACTTGTTCATATCCTGGTGAGTAGATTCTGGTGTGCCACAAAAGCTGGATGAAGGCATTATTTAGTTTGCTGAAAACATTTCAGTAGTGGATTGCAACTTCTTATTACCTAATATACTCCCGTTCCTTTAATACGTGTCTTGTTTAGGCCTTAGTTCGTATGAGTATATCTTGTGTAACGCTGCGGATTTATCTCTCATTTGATTTCAAATCATTTTGGTGGCAGTGCAAATATTTAGAAGCACAGCTCAGCCTTGAATCTTTCTTTTTGAAAATTTAATGTCTTTAATGTATCATTTTATTTAGAAGGACTCAGAAGTAACAAAGCCATATATCCCATAAATAAGATGATGACTTGTTTACAATTTTTATTTTATTTATTTTGCATTCAGTTATTCTTCCCCCCCGCCCCGTTGCTAAACATCCACTTCAAAGACATTTCATCATTTATATGTTTACTAAAGAGATTGTGCACATTGTTCAATCAGATAATGAGCTGACATATTTATTATTCATACATACATATCCCTTCACGCTCATGTATATACATATTTCTATTTGGTTTGCATTTCTAAACTTCTTTCCTTACAGAATGATGGCTGCATATAGTTGTGGCTCCCAATGCAATAATGTACAGGAGATAAAATATTTATAAAACAAATTGTTTGTTCTTCTGATGAATATTATTATTCTAATCTTCCTGTCTGCTTTTTCCCCCACACTATTTTATCAACATAATTTGGGCACTGAGGACATGCTGTATGTCTTGCTTGGGAAAATGAGGGTATTCTCCAAAAGCATCTTTGCTTGCAATCTGTAAAGATAATATATTTATATTTTTAAAAGTACATTTTAATAAAATACCGTGGGAAAATTATAATATAATTTATTAATGAGAAAAAGTTCACGTGACACTCTTAAATGAGCTCTGTACTGCTAAAACGGCATTACACGGAATTTTTTAAAAAAAACTTTGATAACTCATGATATGGTTCACTTACATAAAACTGTACAATCACTTGATTAAACTTTCATGGGTAATGAATGACTACAGTTATGAATACATAATAGATACTTTGCATAGCACTCTGAGCAGCTTAGTATCATGGCGTGCTGTTTTTTAAGAAACAGAAATCTATAGTACTGTATACATACTTTAAGGGGTTATTAAAAAAAACAAGCATCTCAGAATCCATCATTTTATCTCTTCAGTTGATTACTGAATATTTCTGGGCTAAGTGTCTTTTGCTGTTCCCCTGCTTCTGGTAATCAGAGCTTTACTGCCTCTGAACATAATGATTAATATTAAATATTAAAATGATTTCTGACAGTCCAGTTCTGCAATTCCTGTTATAGTATCAAATTTAAAGATATACAAACTTAAATCTATTTGTCTGATGTGTGACTGTATTTGGCTAAGATTATTAAATCTGGGGGGGAAATCATCATCTTTTTTCAAAATGGGAAGGGAAAAGTTTCATCGATTTCCAGTGGTAATTGAGGCATGGATTCCTAAATTTAAAATTTGGCATCAAATCCCAAATGAAATCAGACTGTGTTCCAATAAGAATTTTCTGATTGTGCAGACTCTGGAATAGCCATGACAGTTAAGACAGCTGAGCATAATAACTAACAATGTGAAATATGATCGCCGTTTTTCAAGATGGGAGCAATACTACTAAGCAAAAAAGTTTGCAACAGTTCTCCGAGTATATTTTTACTAAACACAGAAGCTTAAGTCTACCAAAATACAATTAAAACATTTTCTCACTCTGTTAATAAAGGGTTTGACAATATAACAAGTGGTTCTAGGTTAGGGTTATTACCACTCACTTAGCGGCCATTCAAACTTATGACAATGCTGAAGGAATGAGTTGTGGCTTCACAGTTACCCAATAGTCACATGATCACAATCCAGGCACTCAATACCTGGCTCACAATTATGATGTCATAGCAAGTCATGTGATCATGATTCCCAATGTTCTCTGCTGGCTTTCCTCAAGCAAACTAAATGGAGAAGCCAGCAGGAAGTCAGAAGACTTAGTTACATGAGATATTTGCCTAAGGCAGCAACTGAGACTGCCACAACTGGTATTGATAAATTGATAGTGCTTTATGATAATGCCTCTTAGTGACAGCAATTCCAGTCTCAATTGATGTTGTAAACCGAGGACTACAGTTTGTTGCAATGTAATTCAGGTGCAACTGTCTTTTTGAGCCATGCTTCATTTCCCTGGAAAAAAGTTCCATAAATAACATATGTAAATGCTGTTACCGAAATTACGTTTTGCAGTCAAGTCTTCCTTTTTATCTATGTGTGTGTTTTAGAAATCCCTAAATCACATTTTATACAGTGGGGTATAGAAAAAGACAACGTCATAATACAAAGTCTAGAAGGGCTCTGGATGAACACTTGTCTCTAGTGGGAGTTAAACCGTTAAACTGCACCGGTAAATGCCTATTTTGTTCTTCCTTCAGTAAAATGTTCTGCTTGGGCTTTGCAGATTACCCATATCAGACATTCGATAGGAAAAGAAAAACACATCCTCTATTGGATAATAGGCATAGCAGAACAATGTATTAAATCTACACTTCCAAATGCTTACGGCTCCTGCTTAGGCCTTTCCATTGGTGAAGTTTGCAGGTGAAAGACCCAAAATTGGGGCAAAGCAGAGGTGGCATTCAGCAGATTCTGACCAGTCCTGGAGAACCAGTAGAGGAAATTTTGAGTAGTTCGGAGAACCGGTAAATACTACCTCTGACTGGCCCCGTCCCCATCTATTCTCTGCCTCCCGAGTCCCAGCTGGTCGGGAGGAAATGATCATTTTTCACACTGAACAACCATTGCAGCATCCCCACAGTCACGTGATCAAAATTTGGATGCAATGTCCTTGGGACATGTTTACAACCTTCTGGCAAGGAAAGTCAGTGGGGAAGCCAGATCCACTTAACAACTGTGTTAGTAATTTAACAACTTCAGTGGTTTGCTTGGCAACTGTGGCAAGAAGAAAGGTCGTAAAATGGGGCAAAACTCACTTAGCAACTGTCTTGCTTAATAATGGAAATTTTGGGCTCAATTGTCGTGTCTTTTTTTCTTTTTCTTTTTCTTTTTGCTTTTCTGTAACATTTGTGTGAGAGAGACTATTTTTTTTAAAGAGGACATTTAGGAAATCTGCAAACATAGCTGAAATAGAAGGAAAGCTGTCTAAAAATGAAATTCAAATGGGATGGTGCTAAGTGGGTGCAGGAAAATATTACATTGCTTTGATAAAACAACAGCTTGAATGTTTATCTACCACAACAAAGCAAGATAAAAATGTTTGAAAGCTTGCAACTCTATATTTCTTAGGCAAATAAATAATTATTTAAGTTGTTATGTACTTACTGTGTTTCCCCAAAAATTAGACAGGGTCTTATTTTCTTTTGACCCCCCCCCCCAAAATAAGCACTTGATCTTATTTTCATGGAGGTCTTATTATTTTTGAAGTGCAGGAGGCAGCGAGCGTGGTCACGTTATGGCTGTTGCTGTGTTGCAATATTTTCGGGGCGGGCTTATTTTCAGGGGAGGACTTATTTTAGCACATGCCCTCAAAAGCCTGATTGGGCTTATTATCCAGGGAGGTCTTATTTTCAGGGAAACAGGGTATATATTTTCCTGGTTATGTTTACATGTTTCCAGCATGTTTAATTTGAAATACCTTTTACCACAAGCTTAGCTGGACCAATTTATCATTGCCTTCTACTACGCAGTATGGCTTGATGCCTTAGCATCAGTGATCATCTGCCTACAACATCTTTCTATATCACTGAATCTTGTCTGGATGCCTGCTTACTTTTGCTGAGCAGCTGGGATGGCCTATACACCTTGGGGGACCCTGCTGAAAATATATACTCGTGATGTACATTTCTGGTGTTCTTTGTTCCTTCCTACAATGTTGAGGTGACCCAGCAAGACTTTAGCTGGTCTGAAATGTGTAGTCTGTTTTTAATGACCATTTCTACTGTAGCTTACCATGTATCAATTTATGATGATGATAAACTGTGAGGAGGGAAGTAGTAGTAGGAGAACTATGGAGGAAATTTGTAGTTCAGTAAGGTTCAGTAAGATTATGTTCCTTTAAAGAGAGTATGTTTTCAGCATGGAAAAACATGCTTCCAGTCCTTTTATTTATTAAAAAAAAACTCTGACCATTTCTACTTTGTTAAAGTGTTTGTACTTGACTAAATAACTGTTTTCATTAATCAGATAAAAGGAATTTAAAGCATTTGCCAAGGATTTGGGTCAAAAGCAATGCTTGCATCCTTCCAAATATCCAGATATAGAGGACCTAAACACTGTCAGACACCGGATTTTGATTCTCCAAAATATTTTTTGTAAGAGGGAAGCATTGTTTTTCATATAATAGTGAACCTGTAACTTGACAGCATACTTTAATCTATTTATTGCATTTATTCATTACTTGATTTCACAGATCTGGAGCTGCTTTTAAAAATTTGTCAAGTTTTCTAGCTGTTTGCTTTTCACAATCATCTGTCTTTCATCCTAACGCATTTTAGAAGATTGTGGTGAAGATAAAATGGGACGATTCATCATTTCCACGTGTATGTTGGTCCAAGCTCTTTGGAATCCAGAATAGGATAGGTAACCCACAAAGAATGAAAGGAAATCAAGATTCTTCAGTTCTGATTTATAGATACTGTATGTTGGTGCTAGTTTTCTTCTTGGATATCCTGAGAGAATTTCTGAACCTTTGTGTTGAGCTAACTACAGTATATAGTCATCATAATGATATTTTTTTCAGTTCAAAGTCAAGTCTACAGGATAATTTCAATGTACATAGAATTAGTCTTTCTGTGGCAATCACCAATTCTCCAGTTCTTAGGATTTGGCTTTGCAGAAGTTCTTGAGAACTGTGAGGCAAAAAAGAGGATGAGAAATTCCATTTCGTAAGGTTCAAATGGTTGCATAATTGTCCCAACTCCCTACTAATGGTGATTCATCAATCACTATCATGCTGATACCAAGGTGATTTTGGATATATTATCAATTGAGACTCAGTTGTGTGGATTAGTTCCCCTAGTTGGGGTTAGTTGACCCAGCCCATGACACAAAAATCATTTCTGTATATGGATGGGCTTTTGACATGAAATATTCACTTTTGATCTAAATATTTGAGGTTATCATATGGTTTGGACCCCTATGTCCCTCTCTCAGTCCATCATTGCTTCTTTTGAAAGGTGAAGCAGAATCAATACTTAAGTAATATAAATACTCTGGGCAGATTCAACTGAGAAACGGAATTGAGAGCCATAATTATGGCGTTACATAATATGGATATGAAAAGAACATGAACTGTACAGACATATACATTGTCATGAATGGATTGATTGATTGATTAATTGATTGGTTACACTGTGACACCTTTTTAAAGGCATTTTGAACTAATGAATGTTATTGTGAAGTTCCCAGAAGCCGACCTAATTAATTTACGAGTCTCGAGACAAAGTTCAAAAGAATTCCAATTATTTATGAGGTTCGACATTCTGGCATGGACTCCTGTGAAGCCAAAACGGCTTTCGCTTAATTGCGTTTGAACTTTACCCCTCTATCCCCTCCCTTCTGTCCTGCGTCATAATTCATATTCTCCAACTAGGCTGTAGACGTGAGATCCGACTCCGGCCGAAGGCATGCATGGAATTTCCCCTTCCATGCCAGCCTGATAATAGTCATTGCAACACTTTAGAAGTTGACAGTGATAACATTACAAACAGCCTACAAGAAAAGCAGTCTAAACACTATGTAGTAAGTCCAAAGCAGGACTCAAGGAATCAATAACCAGATGTGCTCAACAATATGAAAGTTTTATGTAGTTTTCCTGTTTGCTGTGGCAGATGAGTAAAATGATTCATATTATCCCTTCCAATTGCAAGCCATCTTGAGTTCCAGACACAGGTGTATAAACTTAGAACAGCTAAATTCGGGGTTAAGAGGAGATAGCTGTAACGGACAGCTATTCTAGACAAGAGGGGTGAACTGATCCAACAGTTCATACAAATATCAAAACATTTTTACAACAATGAAAATTTCTTTCATGGCATAGACCCCCCGGGGGAGAGCCTTCTCTGTTGCAGCTCCAGCCCTCTGGAATGATCTCCCTGTCGAGATCCGGACCCTTACGACCCTCCCGGCTTTCCACAAAGCCACCAAGTCCTGACTGCTCCAGCAGGCCGGGGGGCCTGTGAAACATCCAGCCCAGCAGAAATTGTGAATGTTGTGGTTTTGTTTTTAAAGTATTGTCTTTGTCTAGTCCTCCCCCTTCCCTTGTCTATTGTGAGCCGCCCAGAGTCCTTCGGGAGTGGGCGGCATACAAGACAAATCAATACAATACAATACAATACAATAGAGAAAAGCAGAGAAAGTTTCAAAAATTATCTGGAGGGGAAAAGAGAACCATCAATGTTACATATAGGCCATATTGAACTTGCAATTGTTTTAAGATTATGTTTAGGAATTTACAGAATGAAAATGTCCATGAACTCTAGCAATTTAATAGTGATAAATGTAAATGACTATTTCTTCAGAATAGAAAAGAAAAAAGATGGATGGAAGACTATTTATGTGTGTGTTTGTATCCCACCTTTATTAAAAATAACTCAAGGTGGAAAACATCCTCTTATTTTCCC